AAAATAAACTCAGTGTCAATACAAAGGTGATAAGCTCGCTACTTACTCAATGTTTGGAAAACTCTCCTGATTCCGTGAGCAACTTTATTGTCACTACTTCTAAAACTTAAAACTAAAACACAAGCTCGTGAGCCCCCAACTGAAAATGGCATCAAAAGAAACTATTCAACTCGTTGTCTGTCCAATCCCAGACGCTAGCCGCCAATTGTTACGACCCGAACTACCCAGACCTTTCGATCTAGGAGGGGAGGTAGACAAGAACACACGTCAAAACTAATGAACACCTTTAATACTTGCTCAAGTTTAATTCTTACATCAAAGATACAACATGTAAAAGTAACCGCCACCAAAATACAACACGAAAATCCTACCACCTAGCCTTATCTAAACTATATACAACTACACGTCCTAACTGGTGTGCTGCTATGCCCTGACTGACTGGTCTCACCAATCGCCCTCCTCATATTCTCCAGTCGTCCCTGACTAGTGTGGGAACCTAGTTAATCGAGCCTGACCCCCAGGTCAGGTCAAGTCAGGACATGACCGTACCCACGGGTCCGTCCGTCCAGAAAAGCTTTCCCAGCCATAAATCACGGCCTGTTGGTCGTTACCAGCCGAGTCCCCAAGACACCAGGTATGCGCCGCCCACAGAGTAAAAACCCAATCCGCGTGGTGGCCGAAACGACCCAAAGATTCCCACGGCCAGCACTGGTCAGCCTCTGACCACCGCCAGGTTGATGGATGAGCGTGGGGTCGCTACCCCAACATACGGGTCAGCACAGGACAAACCCCAAGTAGTCGTAACAATATATATATATATATATATATATGTATATATATATATATATATATATATATATATATATATATATATATATATATATATATATATATATATATATATATATATGTATATATATATATATATATATATATATATATATATATATATATTCTGATATTAAAACTTAGAATTGTCTCTAAATGCAAGCAGAAATAATGAGTTAATTATAGGCCAAAGAAGATTCGTTGCCTGTGTAGACGCCGAACTTAGGAGCTCAGAAACAGAAGACGAGAATGTCAGAGTGATGGGCCGTTTAAAGCGCTTATGTTTTAATCACTTGACATTTGGGAATGGCGAGGTCAAGCGGAAGTGACGTGTCTGAGTTGTGTCATGCGCAGAATGAAACAGATGATGCTCGCGTGCTGCAGTGGCAGGCAGGGTGTGAGTTACATCTGTTTGTTGACACGGGGGGGAGGGGGGGGGGGGGTAAGTCGCCAGGTGTCTGCCACTGTCTCCAACAGTGGGGCGTGTCAGGGTGAGAGAGGTCAGTGACACAGGGTCAAAGGGGAATGTGATACAGGGTCAAAAGGGAATGTGGCACAGGGTCAAAGGGGAATGTGACACAGGGTCAAAGGGGAATGTGGCACAGGGTCAAAGGGGAATGTGGCACAGGGTCAAAGGGGAATGTGATACAGGGTCAAAGGGGAATGTGACACAGGGTCAAAGGGGAATGTGATACAGGGTCAAATGGGAATGTGACACAGGGTCAAAGGGGAATGTGGCACAGGGTCAAGGGGGAATGTGACACAGGGTCAAAGGGGAATGTGGCACAGGGTCAAAGGGGAATGTGGCACAGGGTCAAAGGGGAATGTGGCACAGGGTCAAAGGGGAATGTGGCACAGGGTCAAAGGGGAATGTGACACAGGGTCAAAGGGGAATGTGACACAGGGTCAAAGGTGAATGTGGCACAGGGTCAAAAGGGAATGTGACACAGCGGGGAATGTGATACAGGGTCAAAGGGGAATGTGACACAGGGTCAAAGGGGAATGTGACACAGGGTCAAAGGGGAATGTGACACAGGGTCAAAGGGGAATGTGACACAGGGTCAAAGGGGAATGTGACACAGGGTCAAAGGGGAATGTGACACAGGGTCAAAGGGGAATGTGGCACAGGGTCAAAGGGGAATGTGACACAGGGTCAAAGGTGAATGTGACACAGGGTCAAAGGGGAATGTCACACAGGGTCAAAGGGGAATGTCACACAGGGTCAAAGGGGAATGTCACACAGGGTCAAAGGGGAATGTGACACAGGGTCAAAGGGGAATGTCACACAGGGTCAAAGGGGAATGTCACACAGGGTCAAAGGGGAATGTGACACAGGGTCAAAGGGGAATGTCACACAGGGTCAAAGGGGAATGTCACACAGGGTCAAAGGGGAATGTAGCACATGGTCAAAAGGACTGGCAGTGGCGAACAATGAACAATGTTGAAGTATTAAAAAAAGGGTTGCGACAGGCCCCGGCAATGAAGATTGTGGCCCAGTGCCAAGCAAGAAAGATTGTAGTAGTGTCAAACAAAGAAGCTCTTTGTAGTGTCTAGTCATAAGGGTTATTGTTGTGACAAGGAAGTATTTTGGTTCGAATATAGAGAATAGTAGCACGGTGGCACATAAAAGATAGTAGCGCAGTGTCACTCAAAGGATTGTAGGGCAGTGTCACACAAGGAATTGTAGCACTGTCACACAAAGGATTGTAGCACAATGTCACACAAAGGATTGTAGCACAGTGTCACACAAAGGATTGCAGCACAATGTCACACAAAGGATTGCAGCACAATGTCACACAAAGGATTGTAGCACAATGTCACACAAAGGATTGTAGCACAGTGTCACACAAGGGATTGTAGCACAGTGTCAAACAAATGATTGTAGCACAGTGTCACACAAAGGATTGTAGCACGGTGTCACACAAAGGATTGTAGCACAGTGTCACACAAAGGATTGTAGCACAGTGTCACACAAAGAACTGTAGTAGTTTGAAGAAAAGAGGATTTTGATGCAGTAATGATCCTTCTGTCAAAGCGTCAAACTAAGACGATTATGACATCATGCAAGGCGACACGACTTTCTTGAAACATTGACAGCCACATCAGCTTGACATCTTATGACCAGGATGTCAACATGTAATCACGTGACTACAGCTATTTATAACCCGCCGGAAAATACTTTAGACAACACATGTTATTATGATAGGAAGTTGTACGTGTTAAACGATGTTAAATTACTCACACAGTAACAGGGAATGCAAGTCTGACACACGTGTAAAACATTAAAATGTTTGAGAGCTTTATGCGAGAGTGAGGGTGGAGGTTGAATAAAGGTAAGCTAGCGAGGGTTAAGGGTGGATCAAAATAAACCTAATATGATCGAAATGTAAATGAATGTAAACAGAAGAAGATTTGGGTCTTAAAATAAAACTAGGCATGCTGCCCAGCTTCGCTTAGGCTTTCGAAAACATTGAGAATTTGAATGCTTAATTAATTCGCCCGAAGGTCGGTCTACGACCTCAAGAGTTATGAAGAGGTTCCTCCGTGGACATTTTTTTTCGATTTATAGCTCATATAAGGTACCGGTCAGTCGAGGTCAGTTTTGACCCCCACATCGTAGACTTTTCGGCCAACCGGCCCCCGTGTTCTGTCGCACCAAGGCAAGATCATGCCAAATTTGAAGCGCCTGCGGCGTCGGGAAGTGCCCTATCGGACACCCGACAATCTAGATCTAGATTTCTAAAAGAATTTTTTTTTTAAGTTTAGCCCGAGCATAATAAAAAAGAATACATTAACCAAGTTGACTTGCTGTGTCTCGAACCCGCACCACCTGCGTGGTTTAATGTACACTAACACCTCCGCTATTTAGGCACCTTATAAAATACGGAGAATGAAACACGTATTTTAAAATCTTAACTTACGCGAATATGCCTATTCTTTCAAATTAATTTTTTTATCCCAAATTAGCCAGTTCCAAACAAAGATGTTGTATAAAATAAATAAGTCTTGAAATAGTTTAGTCCTAATATAGAAATTTATTTTTGGAATTGATTTTAGAGAAGTTAGAGTCTAAATCTAGATCTTAGCGTCTACGTCTAGATCTAGTTATTGCGTAGATTTAGATTTAGATTTAGTCTAGATCTAGAATCTCTAGATCTAGAATCCAAATACATAAAATAAATGTTATGAGTTTAGGCCGGAAAAATTGTATTGTATACATTTCATAGTGTACGTAGATCTAAATCAAATTTGAATGAAATAGTTCATTTCTTTTCATTCTAAACACGGCAGATGACGTCATTAGTTAATGTATAAGCAATAGTGACGTCACAGTTTTATGCGTTCTTTTTCACATATATTAATGCTTTTCCGGTTGCATAAATAATACTGTTTCCCTACATTCGAATACGCCTTTAATTTTTATTTTTCTTCTTTAACTAAAATTGTGGTTATACATTTAAAACATCTAACATATTATTTTCAACAAAAGTCCGTAAAAAATTCTCGATATATCGCTGCCGATTCTGACGTGATGTCCGGCGAAAATTTTTTGCGGACAGAGAAAGAGAGAGAGAGAGAGAGAGATGTGCGCACATTGGGCTTTTATATATTAGGATTGGCAAAGTAAAACGGTGTTATATTTCTATTGCACAAAAGTGTTTGGGAAGGTGTTCAATGTGGTGTTTAGTGTGATGTTTGGTGTGGTGTTTGGACTGGTAGTAGAGGTGGTGGGGTGATAAATGGTGTTTGGGTGGTGTTTGGGTGGTGTTTGGGTTGGTAGTGGAGGTGGTGTTTGGGGTTGGTAGTGGTGGTGGTGTTCGGGATGGTAGTGGAGTTGGTGTTTGTGTTTGGGGTTGGTAGTGGTGGTGGTGTTCGGGATGGTATTAAGGTTGTTTGGGTGGGGGAGGGTGTTTGGGGTGGTGTTTGGGTTGGTAGTGGAGTTGTTGTTTGTGGTTCTATTTAGGTTGGTAGTAGAGGAGTTGTTTGGGTGGTGTTTGGGGTGGTGTTTGGGTTGATGATTGGGATGGTTTTTGAATTGGTGTTTCGGAAGGTGTTTGGGGAAAAGTGCTTGTGTTTGTCGCAGACTATTGGGATGGTCTGGAATTAAAGTTTCGTTTAACATTGCAAGAGGGAGGGGGCGGTGGGGGTTAGAGAAAAAAACCCGAACTCACCTTTGTCGGAGATGGTGAAGAAGAACGTGTCGTTGGTTACGTTGGCACCTGGCCTGAGGATGTACTCGATCTGCTGCAGGTTGATGTCACCTGGGGAAGGTAAAAATAAATCTCTTAATCCGCTCGCCGCAATTTCTTTCACTAATACAGGCTGTTGTTACACGTGGGCTGGTGAGTTTTCTGTGTATGTATAGCAGCGCACTGGGATGATTTTAACCGCTAATCGTATATATTTATATATATATATATATATATATATATATATATATATATATATATATATATATATATGTATATATATATATATATATATATATATATATATATATATATATATATATATATATATATATATATATATATATATATATATATATTCATATTGTTTATGTGATGGATTATCTATCTGTCTGGTCTATTGTTTACGTCGTTTGTAGAAGATTTGAATCTATTCATGTCATACTAGCGTTATTTTAACTCAACAAGAAAAAGAGAAGAACGAATCAATGACGTCAGTGTGTTGTCCAACACTTCCACCACAGAAAGTGTTTGGTGACATCATGGCCTATGTGGCTTTACACAGGTTGTGGATGTGACAGTGAAACCGGAAGTTAAGAGAAGCGGAAGTTGCTGAATGACATGTAAAGTGGGCGTGTCGGAGGTTTGGTGGGTGGAGTGGTATGTTGTTGGATGTGTCAGTTGGTTTGTTGGACCTATGTTTGATGGTGGTAGTCGGAATGTTGGATGGGATGAAAACCTTTTAGTTTGTGACTTCAACACAGACCATCTATAACAGTGGGTGGCCCTAAAACTGATCTATATGGCCTGGGCCAGTCTTTATAGACCAAACAGACACTTGGCCCTAAAATTCATCTATGTGGCCAGTTTTTTTTTTCGCTGAATTGTAAAAGCACAAACCCGATATAATATATAATCATAAGAATTGAAATGTATCCAACCCCTTCCCGGTGTAATTTTCGGTTTCTGTTGTTTTGATACGTTAAAACATTGTCCGCTAGATCACGAGACCTGCCGTGACATTTGATCACGCCACGTGACACGGTCTAACGATAAATGGGTCGACCCCAGAGCCCATTCAGACTGACCCCCGACCCCATCTTACGTGACTCGTTAGTTTCACGTGATTTTACTCTCTCGGCAGTTTCACTTTATTTGCTCGCTATACCACGTGACTTTTGGCTCCATCTGACCTTTCCCCCCCCCCTACCCCCCAACCGACTAGTGCCCGGCTGTGTGCCGGCCAGGTACCATCGTCTGGCACCTAGCCGGTGTTTACCGGCACCTAAACACACATAAACAGGCCGGTGCCCATCAAAAAGATTGTTGTCAGGGGAAGCGACTCGCGTGTACCGATTTAGTATTATGGTGTTTGGGGATTTATTCACAGTCAAAGGAAACCAAAAATTGCGAGGTGTGGGCGCCAAGTTTTTCTGATCTGGGTCGAAATCGTGTGAACAGCCAAAAAACTGATAACTATGCTTGTATGATGAGTAGGGTCAGAGTTCAAGGTATTGTAAACAAAGGGCAAGCTCAATAATAATAATAAAAACATCAATTGTACTAATAATAGGGCTTGTAAGTAGGTCATGACTTCTCGTACTTGCCAGCTAGTAGATTTCGAGACCGTAGACTTACAAGCCCTATTAGATACTGTTTAATGGTGTATGTATGTCCTGGAAATTGAATATCACAAAAATGTCGCGGACCTACAGGAGGTCGAAAGGTGTGGAGAGCGCCCGACCCACAAGACAAACAAACATCCACATCTCGGGGACCCCGAGAGTTCGTCGAGAAGTAGAAGAAATAAACTTCGCGAATCGAAGGCCGTGGCTAGTGAAAAATGTGGCCATCGTCTTTAACACAAGATGGACAGGAATTCGTTTTAAGCGGACTGTTGGCCGGAAGTGTCGCTTTACGGTTAACATTTCCTGGACCTACCCGGCATGCATTGCGTCAAGGAAGTCTTTTATCAAGATGTTTATCAATATAAACTACATCGGTCGCTGGTATTAATATATTACACTGTCCATAATTTTTTTTTTTTTTTTTTTTTTTTTACATCTAGCCATGACGTTAGAAATTTAAGAAAAACGTCATAGTAATTATTTTTTGTGTTAGCTAAACAAACTGGAAGAACGGAGGGTATGAAGATGAAGTAATGTCAAATAATATGTTCGGATCAGATCAACGTTAATTCATTTCTTCCCTGCCTACAAATAAATGTTTGAAACAATCGATTCAAGTTCCATGCGTGTGTTTTAATTAAATTTTTCTGCACTAACAGAGCGAGGAGGTGTATCTGATTCTGAATGATTGGCCAACAAAAATATAATTCTTAAATAAATGAATAAAACAAAACAGGAGCTGATGGCATCGTAGCGAAGAATTGGGTTTTTAAATAAAATATTTTATCAATCTGATTAGCTGGCCGTTTTGATGGCACGCTACGAATGTACTGATGTAGGGGTGTAATGTATGATGATGATGTGGTAGGTATAGTGTGTGCTGATGATGATGTATAATGTGTAATGATGATGATGTTGGGGTATAAAGTATGCTGATGATGGTGTATAGTGTGTGCTGATGATGGTGTATGAGGGAAGGTGTGGTCGAACGGCAGAGCTCTGGTATACAACCCGAAAAGGTCGAGTTCAGATCCTGGGCTCAAGCCTGTAGGACACCTCTGAGTCCACCCAGCTCTATTGGGTACCTGGCTCAATCCGGGAAACAAAGGCGGCCGGGCATAGTTCTGACCACACTATTCCCTAGTATGCCGATGTTTTTAAAACAGATGAACTCTACTCCATTTACCCCATGTTTCTTGGGCACGAACAGGAAAAGTTGATGTAATAATGATAAGGGGGTAAAATGCTTACAGCGGGGTGTAACGAGTACAGTGCCAGGCTCTGATTAGAATTTCTACAACATGCAGAACTCAAATGCTGCATAGTAATTCGTATAGAAATCTTCTAACGTAACGCTACACAACCTCACTTATATAAAACATAGAAGTAGCCTATTTATATCCACGCCGTAAATATTTCACATCACACACAGTACATATTCCACCATCACCCCCACGCCACACTTTCATGGCCGCTCATGCATTCAATCAGAAGCACTCAGCCGTGTTCCCCATCTCTCACAAAACTACAGCTCCCACCACCCCTTGAATAACTTCCCCCACCGTCAATTGTCTGCCTCTACACTCACTGAGTGAACAAGGTCGTAAGTTCTACTCAAAAACTGCGTCGTTTGTCTGTCTTTTTTAGGAAAAGTCTGCAGCATCACGGTCTTCTGTATGTTGCAACAATAGTCTGTCTTTTTACCATCTTTTGTCTGTTTTCGCTTAATTAAGTCTGTCTTTTTACTGTCTTAATGTCTGCTTTCGCTAAAGTCTGCTTCTTTAAAATTCTGCCCGTGGCCGGCGCAAGTTGAAGAAACATCGGACAAGACTTGAAGGCACTGTCGACTTTATGACACGTGTCACTATGAAGTACCGCCACCTGGCACCCGTCTTACCTGCTCAAGTACTCACTCGGGCAGGTGAAGTGGGTCAGATGGACTCGATTGCAGCCTAATACGTTACACATGTCAGGTCCCTGACCTTTTCAACAATTGCTAGACGACTCAGCAAGTGCTCGTCCCTTGGTGTAACTCTTCTATTAGAAGTTTCATAATTCACTTTTTTTTTCAAGGTGCCAGGTAGCCTGTCAGCAAAAGAAGCCAATTTTCACCCAGGTAAATCAATTTAAAACCAGGAGGTTGCCAGATTTTTTTTTCAATGAACGTGCGAGTCACAAGTCGAGCATGTCGGATAATCAAATTGTCGCCCTTTTGTCGCCCGCGGCGAAAGGAGATTCGACGAAACCACCGCTAGGTGGACACAAAGAGGGCGTTAATGAGTCACGCGCTAATAAAGGTCAGGTGTCTATCAGGTGATCGTTTCCATCAGGGGGGCGATTCATTTTTAATGGTTTCTTTGTCGGTGTTTGATACATCTTAGAGTCACAGTCAGGGGTCAGTTTATCATAAGACCACTGTGTCAGTGGTCAGTTTATTTAAGGGTCACTTTGTCACTAGTTTTAACATTGACATGAGCTTTACAGCACACTTCTCTTACCTGACCCTGCCACATTTGTAGATATTTTTCTTTGCATGTGTTGGTCCACTTTACAGGTGTACACGTGTATGTGTACTTTACAGGTGTACACATGTATGTGTACTTTACAGAACTAGGTGCACTTTCCTTAGTTTGTTGTAACTTACATAGCTTGGTGCAGAGGCGTAGCGACCCTTCCCAGCGCCCGGGGACAAAACGTTTCGATTTGCACCCCCCCCTCAAGATTTCGATTTGCACCCCCCTCAACCTTTCAATTTATTTTTCCGACCCATTTTTGCGCCCCTAAGGTCGGCGCCCGGGGACGTATGTCCCCCCCCCCCCCCCCGACCTCCCCTCGCCACGCTACTGGCTTGGTGCACTATGTGTGCTCTTTACAGATCCACTTTACAGAACTAGATGCACTGTACAGAATTCGGTGCACCTTACACAGCTAGATGCACTTTAAGATATAGATCCCACCAGTCATGTAAATATTGTCCAAAAGTCAAATTATCATCGGCGGCCATATTGGATCTAGCTGTCATTAGATACAGCAAGACGGCCATCTTGAACCTTTCAGTCACCAGTCCCATCTTGGCGGCCATGTTGGACCTAGCACCACGTGATCCCATTAAAGTGTAGATCACATCACCAACGAGATGTTTACTCATCAGTCTCCCCAAAACGCCCGAGGGCGGCTCCATTCGCGAGAGAAAATATTATTTCTCTTGCCGGTATTGTATTTCTCTCAGCGCCGGAAATGACGTTTGGTAAGAAATCAACGGCCCCGTCTGCTCATCCAACAGCCGCACGCGACTGCCGTCTCGCGGACGCAGATCTGTGAGCAGATCTTGATATGTTTCGGTGATGATCTTTCTAAAGTGGCGTCCATCATAAATGACGTCATGCATGCTTGAGAGCGGGGTGGGTGGGAGATCTATTATGACGTAGCGCACATTTTGTATTT